GATCTCGGCTCACTGCAACCTCCGCCTCCCAGGTTCAAGCAATTCTCCTGCCTCAGCCTCTCAAGCAGCTGGGACTACAGGTGCTCACTACCACGCCCAGCTAATTTTTGTATTTTAGTAGAGACGGAGTTTCACCATGTTGGCCAGGATGGTCTCAATCTCTTGACCTTGTGATCCTCCTGCCTCGGCCTCCCAAAGTGCTGGGATTACAGATTTGAGCCACTGTGCTCGGCCTTTATCCACTATTTCTAATGACCAAGTGGAATCATATAAGAATTCCATGATTCTTTCATTAGTTTTCATCCTTTCATTAGTTTTCATAATTCATTAAGGATCATAATCCTTAAAGTACCTATATTTATTTATTTATTTATTTTGAGATGGACTTTCACTCTTGTTGCCCAGGCTGGAGTGTAATGGCGCGATCTTGGCTCACCGCAACCTCCACCTCCCGGTTCAAGTGATTCTCCTGCCTCAGCCTCCCGAGTAGCTGGGATTACAGGCATGTGCCACCACGCCTGGCTAATTCTTTTTGCATTTTTAGTACAGATGGGGTTTCTCCATGCTGGTCAGGCTAGTTTCACACTCCTGACCTCAGGTGATCCGCCTGCCCTGGCCTCCCGAAGTACTGGGATTATAGGCATAAGTCACCGTGCCTGGCCTAAATTACCTATATTTAAATTGAGAAACGTGACAGTCATAGGTCTTGACTTAAAAGACCTATCTTCACATTCCAGTAGTATTGTTCCTTATAAATCCTTTGTAGTATAAAAGGCTTTAATAATTGTCTTGCAGAATCAAAGCCCAACTAGCAACTCACGAGAACTCTTCCTGCATGACAAACTTCTCTCCCTTAGCAGTTCTGATGGCAACAACAGGAATCTCTCCAGTAGTGCTTTCCAAGCCAAAATCAGAAAGTTCATGGCTAAAGGTTTTGCGGCTAGCTACAGCAAAGTTGAGTTTGTGCCCAGCATCCAGGAATTTCTTTGCCACCATCATTACCCTGTGGGAAACAAGAGATATTTGTGCCAAGACTATACAGGGTGGTCAAGCACTTTTGAAACTAAGAAGCAAGTGACTGGAAATCAAAGACTAAGTTCCACAGTCCATGTAGCCTTCTGGCATCAGTCAGAACAGTCTGAGCTCTTCAGCACTGAATAAGTATTATAATATATTTCAATACCTTACTAAACCTCACGGCCAAATTGGTGATACCCAATCAACTGGTCCATTCCTGCTAAATCTTGCTGTATTATATAACCGAAATCTATTTTAGGCATAATGACTGATATGAAAAGAAAATTTATAAGGATAAAATGCACTGAGAGTCTAAAGGTGCAAGTAAGCACAATGATTTAAGTGCATTTTACATCAAATTTGCACTTTTTATTTGGAACCACTGTGTCACAAAGCAAAGAAACACCTATGAAATACATGCTCAATAGACTTTGAAAACAGTTTATGTTACCTGTCCTTATGGCTTCAAATGTAGTTTTTGGAAGCCAAATGTTCCCATTCTTTCCTGCTCTTACACCACATATGGTAACAGGACACTTCTTTTCTTTTCTTTTTTTTTTTTT